TACGATAATATAAGAAGCGGACCTATTAAGTAGAGTATATAACGACTTACCTAAAGACGATAGTAAGCTAGGGGCTAGCTTATAAGATAATATATTATAATCCTAATATTATAGATTATTAATAACTAATAAATAAACTATTTAATATAAGTTTACTACTTAATAATAAAGATAGAATAAACGAGTATAAAAGGATAGATATTCTTATACTTATAGATATACTCTTTCTTATAATAGTAATTAATCTAAGTCTTACTTTATATTTATTATAACGAGTATATAATACCTTATAATACTATATCGTCTTAGAGGTATAACCTAAGCTTCTACTAATAGTAACCCTAACCCCCTCTAATAGTATTCCCCCTTTAGAAGCTACTAAGTCGTAATACTAGACTACTCGCTAGATTAAACTACTCGCTATATATCTACGTTAAATCTAGAGATACTATAGATCTATATAGCGCTCTAAATACTAAGGTATAGGTCTTACTTAATAGCTTAGAGAGTAAGTAATAATTAGCTTTTATAAGAAATAAGTAATATATTAGGTAATTAAGAATAATATATTAGAAGATAGATAGTTATAATTTCGTAGTTAGGTAGCCTACTTACTTATCTAGCCTACTTACTTATTATATATAATATAGTTTATTAATAATAGAATAATATCCTTATAATTATAGGATTTATTAATTCTTTAATTTAAATATTATAATAATAAGAAAAATACTTTAAATTAATAAATTAAAATAATAGATAAGTTTAGATTAAAGAGAACTTATAAATAATAAGTAATAGAGGGCTAAAGAGGGAAAATTAGAAATAAGCTATAATAAAACGCTAAAAATTAATAAATAGGGCCTCCTTTTTATTTACGAAAACTAGCTAAGTAGTAATAAGAGAGGGGCTCCGCTATAGACTTATAAGCGTAATATATAGTAACGAGGAGAAAGCTCCGGAGTAAGGCTATTCCTACTAACTCCTAGGGACTAGGAGTCCTAAAGGGGAGGGGGTATATTAGGACCCCTATAGAGCTAGTAAGGGGCTACTAAGCTAGGGGGCTAGCTAGGGGGTTAGGGTCTTAAGAGAACGTATATATAGGCTACGGAGGGCCCCCCTAAGCTACGGAGGGGCAGATTATAGATATTTTCCTATCCTATACCTATATTCCAACTACCTTTAGACCCTGTAGACGACCCCTTCACTCTGCTCTAAATAACGCTCTGACAGTTTCACGACCATTCCAATATAAAAGCATAGTAAGCCATCTACCTTAGGGATTGGGGTGAGACCTCGTTATCCTCCCTCGTGCGGTCCTCGTGAAAGCCACGTGAACAGACCATGAGAACAGTCATGCCCGTCACCACACTACGTCTCCATAGAGGTCAGGTATGGGGCAGCAATAACAGACTTAAGGCACGGAATCGGTGGAAACAAACATCCAGCCGACGTTCGGGCAGAAGGGAACGGAGTCGAACCCAGCGCAGTGCACAGACCAGCTCTCCGCACGCTTGTTCATATAGACTCCAGGTACAGCGATCCTCGCGCTTCCAGAGTCCGGCTCTACGGCTGGTCGGCGAGCCGCAGCCAGATTCGGCGCGGCGAAAACTCAAGAATCTGAGGTAGTCTTCGAGTTGACCTCAAACAAGCATGGCTCCCCCAGCGCTCATCCCAAACCACGTTAGCCCGAGGAATGAGACGCTGAGAAGCTCCTGGACGTCCCATGACACCACAGCCTACAACTCCAGTCACGGAGCTTCGAAAGAGCTCTTTGTCGGAGTCGGGCTGGCTGCCGACGAAGTTTCTATCAGATGCATGGTGAAAACCAAACGCTCGGGGCCTTGTACGCCCTAAAGCGGCGTCACGTATGTCTTGGTCTTCAATGGATCTAAGCTGAAGAGGGGATCTGCAGAAAAGCCTAACGCTTGATGTAGGAGGGATTTGTCTGACATGTTGCAACGGCAGTCGCAGTGAGGCAGTCTCCCAGCGCTGTGGCAGCATTGGGTAGCGATTGGCAATCCATGTGACACCCGAAAACAGAAGATCACCGTTTCTCCGTTCATTCAGCTGCTGCAGAAAGGGTGAATGCTGTGGCCATCAGGTGGGGTGGCGCCTTATTGCCAGTAGTCTCAGACGCTGGGTTCCCGATGTTGTAGTGCCGGCGTGCTTTGAATACTGCCAGAACAGACAAGCTTGCAACGATCTCACTGAAGAAACACTACAAGGCGTCATGATACATTGGAGATCTTCACTTATCTGGGATGGTCTGAGTATACAGTGACTTAGCAAAACATTCTTGTGTTGGACGTATCACCAATTCTCAGGGTCTGTGGATTCTGCTGCCCTTTTCACCACGTTCTGGTGAGTTTCAAATCACTCATTTCATGCCCTTTCTTCGGCAGTCAGTCTTGTACGTCGGTTCCCGGGAGGACTTTCCGCCGACTCTGATTTCTGACCAGAATGAGTGATCGGTGTTCATGAGAATGAGGGATGCTACGTCCCGAGGTAACTCGATAAGGAAACCCCCACAAATTTCGCTCAATCATCATTATGATCCGTATATCAAAGAGCTTTCTATTCCATGGGTTGTTTCGTGTTCTATTTCTGAATGTGCCTCGTTTGGATATGAGCCTGACTTGCCTCCTTTTAGTACGATCAACTACTTGACGTATATACTCTTAAAGCTCAAGATAATATGGTATTAGGACGTATTGTTTCTTCTGCCAATCGACCCCTTCCAAGTCCTCCGTACCATGGTAGAATGTCACGATATTACAGCGGCGCCGACCCTCGCCTGAATAAAAGCCCGACACGTCAAACCCAGCAAGGTCACATCCTAGGCACAGCCCCTGATGCACCCAAAGATCGCCCGCCGATCCTCAGATCCACCACGGAACAGCATCAGATAATTGCCCTTCTCGGCCGACGGAAGCTGTCAAAAGAGATTGTGAAACCTCACCGACCAAGAATAAGACTCCTTGCCCCAAGGAAAAACCGGTCATTAGGTAGGGCGCTCCCCGGCTCCGTGGTCCTATGCCGGCAAAGATCACCTGCGGCACGGGTGCACGAGATTGACGAACGCCATACCGGCAAGACACCGGGCGGGACGCTCGGGACATCTTCATCTATACGAATCTCTATCCGCCAATTGCGGCACGCTTGGGGTACCGGACGAGTCCCCGGCAACATGGGAGGCAGGTCGTGGAACCAACATGGTACGGGTTGATATTGCATGGAAGCTCAATGGCAGGCTCTACAAGTGATGCAGTGCACCGTGAATAGAGTGGTTTCGCAGTCAGTCATCATTTTCGTTGGCACATGTGTTCCAAAGGAACGCTGTCTTGAAAACAGTCACGGTCTCACAGCAGGGTATTTAATGCTAACGTCCCAGATCATAGTCTAGATTCAAAGCAGAGCCTTGTTTTCAACCAAGTCCCCCAAGTGCCACAACATTGTCAAAATGTCCATGATGTCTGCTTTCAGCCGTTTCCTCTTCCCTGCATTGTTACTCCATGCTCCCCTCGCTGCAGCCCACAGCCGCGTCGCCAACATTATCATAAACGGCACGTCCTACGAAGGGTTCAACGCTAAACAACCGACCAACCCACCCGTACTCGTAGCCTGGAACACGACCGTCTCCGACGACGGCTGGGTCAACTACGAGTCCTACGCCCACCCCGACATCATCTGCCACCGCGACGCCGTGCCGGCGCGCGGCCACGCGCCCGTCGAGGCCGGCTCCACGCTCTCGGTCCAGTGGCAGGGCTACCCCGAGTCGCACAAGGGGCCCGTGCTGACGTACCTCGCGCCGTGCCACGGATTCTGCGAGGACGTCGACAAGACGGCGCTCGAATTCTTCCTCATCGGAGCGCGGGGGCTCGTTGACCCGGACGGCGTGGCAGGGCCGTACCCTAGCGCGCCGGGCATCTGGGCGAGCGACGAGTTCATCCAGAACAATGCGTCGTGGGTCGTCCGGATTCCCGAGACGGTGAGGCCGGGCCATTACGTGCTCCGCCAGGAGCTCGTGGCGCTGCACTATGCGCGGATCGACGGGCTTGGGACACAGCATTATCCGCAGTGCGTCAACCTCGAGATCATCGGGGAGGGAGACGAGGTGCCTGAGGGGACTCCGGCCGTGGAGCTCTACGGGAAAACCGATCCGGGGCTGGTGTACGATGTGTCCAAGGAGCCGCTGTCTGCTTACTTGATTCCGGGGCCGACGTTGTGGAGCGGAGCGGAGGCTGAGGTCCAGCAGACGATGCCGGTCATTACGGGCACTGCAGAGGCGATCCCGGGTGGCGAAGATGTTGCGCCAGGCCCTATCGCTAGGGCTGAGCCGACTGATGCGTGTGTGCAGTGACATGGGTGGCTTGCTCTTGATTGTCTGGCAATCTGATCTAGGCAGCCTTCTCGATCCCCTCGATAATTCAACATATCCCACGCGTGTTGATCGTGGTGATAGCAATGTGCAGAGGTGGCAGCGCAACAGATGACGTTTCTCAATTTTGATCGCCGAAACTTGAAATCTACGTGTATTTACCTTCTTGGACCTTTGAAACTAGACCCCGCACTCAAACTTATCAGGGTAGTATCCAGAACTGATTATTATATCGCCGTTGTTAAGCCTAGCATTCTACCAGCATAAACATCATGGCAGCATGGAAAGCCTTTGAATGGCCGCTGCGTTACGGCCGATCTTACCGCCATCAAGCTTAGCCCCCTGACCACAGGTCGACGTCACCACCCACAGATACTCCTCTACAAGGGCGCGAACGACGAAGCTATCATGGGCACCCTGTGCTTGCCAAATGTGACCGTTGCCTGCCCGCTTACTATTCAATAGCCTCGCTGCTTTGAAATCGAACAAACATCAAAGGGCGGCATTGACGAGCTCGCCATACCACACCAATATCTACCGCAGGACTATATCTTAACCCCGCGACAGCCACTGGCATCGTACAGATGCCTCGTCTGCATAACCTCACAAGCACAGCATCATGGATGCACCCATAATTCCTTACAAGATCAATGTCCCGGACGCCAAGGTCGAGGCCCTCAAAGCAACGCTCGGCCAGACCACGTACCCAGACCCAGCGCCCGTCCTCGAAGACTGGGAATACGGTGCCCCCCGCGCCGCCGTAACGCGGCTGGCCAAATACTGGCGCGACGGTTTCGACTGGCGCGCCCGAGAGGCCGAGCTGAACAAACTGCCGCATTTCAAGACGGTCGTGGCCGTCGACGGCTTTGGCGACATTGGCGTGCGTTTCGTGTACCAGGAGAGTCAAGCCCAGGATGCGATCCCCTTGCTTTTCTGCCACGGATGTGAGTTTCTGTTCACCACCAAGCAACCTTGCTCGTCGTCTGGACTTGAGAGGTGCATTGAATCTGACTACCCAACAGGGCCCGGCAGCTTTATTGAGGTGGTCAAGATCCTGCCTCTGTTGACGAGCGCCGACGCCGATGTTTCCTTCCACGTTGTCGCGCCATCGTTGCCGAACTTTGGGTTCTCCGACGGCGTCGGCAAGCCGGGGTTCGGGCTCGCGCAGTACGCGGAAGCCATGCACAGGATCATGTTGAAGCTCGGCTACGACCAATACGGTCGGTCTCACCTTGGAGATGGCGGAACTATGGCAGTGAAGACAGTTACTGACAGCCCAGCAGTGACGCAAGGCGGCGATTGGGGGTTCGGCATCACGCGCATGGTGGGCAGGCAGTATCCCGAGCACTGTCTCGCGTCGCATCTCAACCACGTCTATTGCAAGCCGCCCGAGTTGCTGAAGAACCCGCTTCTCTACCTCCAGAGCCAGCTACCGAGTTCAGCTTTAGACCTCGAGCGCAAGGCTAGGACGGACTGGTTCCTCGACCAGGGCTCGGCGTATAACATGATGCACTCGACGCGGCCCTCAACATTGGGGTTCGCGTTGGCTGATTCGCCGATCAGCCTCTTGGCATGGATCTACGAAAAACTGGTCGAATGGACGGACGCGTACGATTGGAGCGACGATGAGGTGTTGACGTGGGTCGGACTGTACTGGTTCTCGACGGCCGGGCCGGACGCCAGCACGCGGATCTACAAGGAGGCGCAGGGACGACAGGTGAAGAACAAGGAGGCGCATCTCGAATACGCGCCCGAGGTGAAGCTGGGGATGAGCATGGTTCCCAAGGACCTGATGCTGTTTCCGAGCTCGTGGCAGCGAACACTAGGGCCGGTCGTATTTGAGCGGTGGCATACCGAAGGCGGGCACTTTGCGGCATGGGAGAGGCCTGAACTGCTCGTTGAAGATATTACGACCATGTTTGGCGAGGGGGGCGGAGCGAGTGACGTGGCGCGGAAGATCGTGAAAGAAAGGAGGACATAAAGTCGATGTTTGATCCACAGCTCGCTGGTCCATACGAGGGCTGCCATGATGGGCGCATGGAAGGAGCTCCTTGTGCAGGTCAAATGAATGCAGTGGACCATATCGACCGTGCCCGTTGTAGAAGAGTCAGGCCCCCGGCCCGACAGTCGAGCACCAGATCTGCGATACAAGGCTGTGTGTATCTGGGTCCCGTGGAGATCTCATGGCAGACCCTCCTTGTATACCCAATATACTGGATCCTACCTTTCTTGCTGGAGCCGCACTGCGTGTTGCCGAAACGCAAACGACTCTCGTAGCTGTGCATCGTCATGTGGCCTGACGGTCGAGTCAGTAGCCTATACCAAGCCACCAGGCAAGCGCAAACATGACCCAGCATGGCATGGATGATCAGCGCTATCTGCACCACCGAAAGAGGCAAGTTTGGAGGGCGAACAGCCACCCAAGCATGCACAGCTAAACGCTGCGATTGTCCGGGCGTTCACAAGAGCAAACACATCCGTTCGCCTCCGTCTGACATGTGCCAACACCAAGGGCCGCCTCTAAAAGGGGAATTCAGTGGTTCCAGTAAAGCGGTGACAAATCCGACAGCTTGGCGAGGCTAGACATGAGAAGGGCTTTTTTCACGAGTTTTGCCTGTCAAGCGTCGTCTCGCAATCTTTGCTCCCCTCTCGTTATGCGCCGAGGACTTGGCTCAGGGCACACCGAGACGTTGGCGTCATTTCGGGCGGCTCCCCCAACAGGCGGCTTGGACACTACGCAGAGCGGCGTGACACGGCGCACCCGTCGTGCCGACGGACACGACGGGATGGCCTGTCAGGCTGGGCGGCGGCGCGGCGTTTGAGGTTGGTAGTGCATGACGAGGAGGGGTTTGTCGCCGATGGATGGGCGAGCAGGCGGCGGCATTGCAGGGAGTCTGTTGGTGAAGGATGATCGAAGCCGAGCAAAGTCAGGAAGGGACAGAACGACATGTTAGGGTTACACAGGGCGCAAGTATGTCTTGGGTCGCTTCGTCCAGGCAACATTCCTTTTGTGTTGGCGCCGAAAAGTCCTTCATCCGACAATGCCCAGGGGAGCAAGGGGTCGGTCTCGGCAGCGACGCATGCGATGGTTGTCGTTTGCAAGCATGACCAGTGTGTGTAACGGGCGTTTAGCTTGGAGAGTGGAAGGACTGATCAGATGAGGGCTGGGCTGGACCCGGGTCGACTGTCTCGGCACTCGGAATGGTCGTTGCAATGCCGAAAGATGCTTCAATGGGACGCTGAGAGCACGAGCACAGACTTCGGTAGCCAGTGGCAGAGCGTGGTGGGAATCGTCGAACGGTCCATCGAAAATGGAGTCTTGCACCACGTCTTGAGAGGTGCTGATCTTCGGCACTGTAGATAGACGGATGGATGGATGATGGAATGGGATGGAGGCACGGACGGAGGAGGGCAGAGGAGGGTGGAGGAGGGCGGAGGAGGGCAGAGGAGGGCAGAGGAGGGTGGAGGAGGGCGGAGGAGGGCAGAGGCAAGAGAGGGCATGTGGAGGACGAAGTGTGGAGCGAGCCGTGAAATTGGGTTGCCCTGGTGTGCTGGATTTGCCTTGGCGGCCCTGCTGGCGCCCCTCTTGGCGAGGCCAGGGCATGGTTTGTCCCACAGGGCGTCTTCCAGGGGACCGCCGCCAAGAAGCAAGCCCTGTAGACTTTCCTCTCACAGCGCGCCTCTGATCACTGTGCCCGGGCCACCAGGCGGCCATTGAGGTGCGCCCAGAGGCAGAGGAAGAACCCCTCCTGACGGGCGTGGGAAGGTCTCTGGCGGGCTGTGCTGCCTGGGCATCTTGGGGCTTCCTCGGCTGCGTCATCCAGATGCTGGCCAAGTCGACTGCCCAGCACTTTAGTTGAACCGCCCAAGACCTCAAGAACCAAGCAACGCCGCTCGTGCAAGTCGTGGGCTTGTCGTCGGCGTTTCCTCTTTCTTCCCTCTTTCTCGTCCTACTTATCATCTCAACCGTCCCGGAGCATCCACGCGGGATAGATGGATTCAACATATCCTTCGACCCCCCGCCCGCTGTGTGCAGCAGAGCCTGGAGCACCACTACTCTGACAGACGCCCATGACGATACGATACCTAGATACCTACTTATCCAAGATAGCGACTCACCAGACCTTTCTCAACGCAAAAGCCCGCCACCAGAGAACCGGGCGAATTGGGAGGCCATGTCACGCCACACCCACATCCCTCATACCTACGGCCCCGGCGACACCCACGCCCATCCGTACCATCACCCGCCGCCCGCCTTCCAGTATCATCCGCCGCAACACTACTACGTGCCACCGGAAGATCCGGCACAGAAGAAGAGGAGGAAATGCATTTACATGTTTTACGGACTGCGGCAGGCGGCCCTCATCGTGCCGCTCGTGCTCATCCTGCTCAACGTCAACATCTACGTCTCGCGCCGCGGGCGGTACTTGAACGGCTCGACGAGTCCCGCTGATCCCGTGTACTATTCCATGTGGTTGACGGCTCCTTTGGTATGTCGCACTGCGGACGGCATTGGTGTCCCGACATGGAGTGCATCCAACAATTGTGCTGACATGCCCGTGTAGTCGGGGGTCATCTTCCTATGGGCCATCATGGCACTGATCCAGATGTGCGGCAGCCGATCGCCGGACAGGCCGAGCGTGCCCTATTCGGTCCAATTCGGCGTTGAGCTGCTGTTTGCGCTGGGTGCGCTTGTCTGCTTCATCCTCATGGTGGTCAACATGGTAGACAAGCAGAACAGCGGCACGTATGAATACCCATATCTGCGCTACGAGATTCCGCTGGCCGGTCTGCTCGGCTTCCTCATGTACGTCGAAGCAGTCCACGTCGCTCTGTTGGGCGTCACTAATTCGACATCAGGATTATTCAGGTCGGGCTCGTTGCGCGGGCGTATTATGAGATCAGCATCGACAGGACACAAAGAGACGGGCACAATCCCGCGCACCACGGGGCCATGACCCAGGTGTGAAGCATGCGTCCGGTAGTTGCATCGGTAGCAAACAGCGAAGCGTAGGAGTACGCTCCCAAGATGTTGATGTATGACCATGTATGAATATGGGAGCTCGGTCACGGTGACACTGAGCAAAGAACGGGCGGTTTGTTTCTTTTATTTTTGGGCAAGGGAAAGCGACATACAAGATACCCCCCTGATGGATAGTAGCACCTCTCATGAACATAGTGTATGGGACATCAATCGATGAACAAGGTCATCAAGTTTGACTGGTCAAGGTACTGCAGCCTTCGATACTATCCCGAGTTGGTTCGGTACCTGAATTACCCATCGTCCGTATTTCTAGAGAAGGTGGTAGGACACACCACGACTATTTCAACATTATCCGGTGACGCGGGGTGCAAATATCCCAGTGCCCAGATGCACCAACAAAACAAAATGGTAGGGAGACTGGCTTTCAGGTAAAAGCCCATGGCCATCCGCATGATCGATGAGACCGATGGCAGCAGGAAGCCGGGGCATTACAATATGGGCATTGTTTCCTGAATGGGACCCTGGACCAGATCAGTAACAGACGTAAAAGCAAGGGAGGCGAGTGACGCTTGATCAAATAGCAACCAGCATCTTGCAAGGAGAAGGCAAGCAAGAGGAGGCAAGCAAGAGGAGGCAGGCAAGAGGAGGCAGGCAAGAGGAGGCAAGCGAGAGGGAGGAAGCCACAACTGACGCGCGAGAACGGACCTGATGGATGCCCCACGTACCCGGGTCGCCCCTTCCCCTTTCATCGGCGTCTCATCACATCGACGCTCCACGCGTGCTTGACCGCCAGAAGACACGCCCAGTGCTGCCCTGACTGAGGCAAATCTTTCCATGATGTAGCTCATCATCGCCCTCGTCTCCCATCCCGGACCATCACGCGATGACTTCGTTTCCCGGGCCCTTCCGAGCTTTCTAACGTCTCCGTCCCTCTCACGACCGACGACTTGCGCTAACTGAGATTTTCTCACTTGTGGCGTGTGCGCCCACACAAGCAGGTCGGCCCATGTCGCACGGCTTGAAGTCGTGACATGTGAAGATGCTGAGATCTGGCAGGAACGCGCTGCATCCGAAAGGTCGTCCTCGACGAAGGCGTTGCTTCCGACGAGAGACGTGCCAGCGACAAGAGTCTCTGTGCCGACAAAGGGATTCTTCGAGACAAGGGAAGAGACTCCCTCGACGTATTCCTCGCCGGGCCATAAGACTCCGCCGGTGGCCAAGCAGGCTGCGGTCGCAGAGCCCGCGTCGGCCGAAAACGTGGCCGCCCGATTGACCAGAGAAGCCAAGCCGGTCCAGGTGACCAAGCGGGTGCCACCGCCAGACTCTGTTCAAACCATATATGCACATGACGAACACCTCTTCCGCGATTCTTCCAAACCCCGAGTGTCGATCCCCACGATGACACCAATTTTGACCAAAAACCACAGTCTCGTGGGCGAATCGGATTCTCACATGTATTCTCATCACGCCAAGCAGCCAGAGAGACTTCCAGGCTCCTTCACCAATGCTGAGGCTAGAGACCAGGATGCATCTCTCATCGAGAGCAGAACCTTGAACGCCGCGACTTTGCCGTCAACGTTGTTGAACGCACCATCTTGAGAATCGACACTAGAGTGCAAGGAAATACCTCCTTAGCGAAATCCTCTCGACAAGATTGGTTCAATTCCAGAATTTCAGCTAGGTTCAAAAAGCCATAACGGCTTTGCCAGCTTCAGATGGTCCTGGCTACGACAGCTGGGATGCAGACCAGTCATCGGGCCAGGCATCAACGCCGCCCCTAAAGTGGCCACCGAGCAACTACTGCGATCAATGCGAAGTTTCCTGGCGTTGTGTTCGCGATGATTACGTGACCGAGCATCCGCTGCATAACAGCTGCAAACCCATTGGTTCGAAAAGCGGCTTTACTGAAAGCACGAACGCTCATTGTCAACTTCTCTGGCCTCATGCCTCGGGGAGAAAATCACAAGCTCAGCGGCGCGGGTGTCTTTCTCGGACCCTCGTCCGTTTGCAATCGTTCCAAGATTTTGTCTGACTGGTACACAAGCCCGCAGAGCGCCCTGAAGCGGCGCCCATGGCTGTACAGGACGTTCGAGAAAGTATCCTGCCTCGCCGGGACGAATTCATAGAGAACCGGTGCCAAGGAGAAGTTATGCGCCAGTTGCGCGACGCGAAACCCTTCAGGTTGATCCTCGTATCTGACACGCGCACTATCGTCGACACGATGACTACAGATATCAAGAAATGGAGGTATGATAGCGAGGAGCAGGTCTACATCAATCGCAAGGGAGGCAGCATCCTTAACAGCTTGGGCATCTTTCAGCTGGCACGAGAGATAGAACTCTTGAATGAGAAGGGTGTTGAGATTTAATGGCATTATACGAAGCAAGAGTTCAATCATGAGGCCGTCCAGCTCGCGCAAGATGCTGTCGACCGCGCGAGACTTTTGATGAGGCGGCCGGCACGTCGCCCTGCGGGCAGAACAAACCAGCGAGCTAGCAACTTGTCGGCTGGGCTGGCCAGCAGCGGAACAGAGGACGGTACGTTTTAGAAGGTGACATACAAAAAGGAATATAAAAATTGAAAACCCACGGTCAGGACGTTTTCGCTGCCCAGCAGCGACTGGACGTGCTAGCTTAGCTCGACGTCAGTTCGGATGCGTCCCGCGCCACCCCCTTTTGCCTAGAACTCTCGGCATGATAGGGTCGTAAGGTTTCAGCCACAGGTCAATCACCATCTCCTAAGTCCTGCATTAATCTGATCGATCTGGTCTCTGCGTTCTACTACTAGCTCGGACGTGGCTTTCCACTCGTATCGCCAAGAAAAGAACCGGAATGCTTCACAAGCCGCCGGGAGACGGCCGCGGCGCATGAGGTGACGCGCGTAGCGGAGTTCTCAGCGATGCCAGCGGGCCCAGACTCTGGGCTCATGATTCACGTTGTCTCCCTTGAACAGAACGCAATTACCGCAGGTCCCGCTCAAGGTGTGATCCGAAATGTCCCCAAAAGCAGAGCTCACGTCTTCAATTGCCTTTCGGTCGGTCAACGTGTTTAACATCCGCCGAAGGTTCAGCGGCACGGCGCGCAACGGACACTAATCCCCTTCTGCACTTCTCTCATCGCCCCATCCATCGCGCCCGCCCATCATGCCTCCCATCAAGCACCTGATCGCCCTGGCTACGCAATATGCATACTGGTCGGAGGATGGCTACGAGCTGATCAACAACACCTGGGGCCAGGACGCTGCGACATCGGGCAACCAGACCACCTACTATGATGGCGTTCCATCATGTGGCAAGGGCATCGCCTGGAGTTCCGACTGGGAGTGGCAGGGCGGCGAGAACAACGTCAAGAGCTTCGTCTACGGCGCGCGGCAGTTTGAGCGCCGCCTCGTGTCGGACATTCACACGCTGCCGACGGAGTCGCAGTGGCACTACGATCGGGAGGACATCCGGGCCAATGTCGCCTATGACATTTTCACCGATACGGACAAGGACCACGTCAACAGCAGCGGCGAGTATGAGCTGATGATCTGGTACGTCTCCCCTTTCCCCCCCCCTCTCCCTCCTGTGTTTCCCTGCAACGCACCGCGACATCACGGGAGCGAGATGACTGAATTGCTGCGTGCAGGCTCGGACGGTTCGGTGGTGTCATGCCCCTGACCGAGGCCAAGCAGCCCATCGCTCACGTCAACATTGCCGGCTACGACTGGGAGGTCTACTTTGGCTACAACCACGGCGGCGCGATGAAAGTCTACAGTTTCCTACCGGCGCAGGGCAACATTCACGACTTCCGCGCCGACGTCAAGCTCTTCTTCAGCTACCTCACGAAGGAACATCAGTTTCCCGCCGACAAGCAGTACATGCTGGGTGAGTTTTTTCTACTGAAGACTGGCTGCGCTGGTCCTGTTGCGTGCCACGTGCTGATCATTTCTCTAGTCTATCAACTCGGCACCGAGGCCTTCACGGGCGGTCCTGCAAAGTTCGTCGTCCCCAAGTTCATCGCCGACGTCAGGTAACGAAGCGTGGGAGGGGAGCCGTGTAGGTTAGCCAGCCTGCGAGTTAATGGGCGAAGCGGAAGTCCTTGCGCTTGCTGCCGGAATCGGTCGTGGTCTCGAGATACTGGAGACGTTCCTGAGAGAGGGGGAACAGACATCACGTTAGCCTTGAACAGGCGCTAGGTTTTCCTTTGTAGAGTAGGGATGTTTACTCACTTCTTTCGTCAGCGCGTCCCATTCGCGGTCTCGCGTTTTGTTGCGCCAGACATAATACGACTTGGCGAGGATGTAGATGACTATGTTGGCCGCGCAGATGGCTGTCAGCTGTGTGTTTCCGCGTCGGTCTGTGGTTCGTTAGCTTCAGCTGCTCTGTCTGCAAGGCTGCATGAGCTTACAGTTGGGACGATCGTCCTGGCGGTAGATGTTGGCGTGGATGATGCCTCCTACTTGTACAAACATGCTAGGACCACGTTAGTCTGTGCTCTGATGCTTCAATGCAGAATTCAACTGCTGTTTTGGACCATACTTGTACACGGCTGCCGAGACGGTCCTCGTTCGGACAGTGTTGGAATTGCGGCTACACCAACCGACTTGCATGGCGTGGGCTACGACCAATGTCAGCACAACGGGCCGTACAGCTCTGATAGCAGTCACGCCACTCACCTGTGGGATAGGACAGCAACACCGTCAGGACGGCAAACCTTGCCCAAGGCGACGTGTCATCTTTCAACGTCCTGAGAGCGATCAGGCACGGAAGCAACCAGACCTGGGCAAGTATGCCGAAGAATGTACGTTCGTTGAAGATTTCCGAATAATACGTCAGGAGAAGCATCTGTTCGCCTGTAATTAGTTCAGTCTCCGTTCACTGTGCAAGTCTAGACTTACGGTGATGGCACCCAGGACCTGCGTGGGGATACTGAGCAAATTCGAGTCGAACGTGCCAAAGCCGAGAGTTCGAAGCGTCAGGGTGAGGTACGAGTCCGGCGGCCCGG